TCTCTCTCTCTCTCTCTCTCTCTCTTTCTGTTTGCCAGGTGGGTTGCGTAACGAAGCTGAAAAGAGTGTGAGCAAAGCAGACTTTGTGGCTTTGCTCTTTAGCCTGTTGGATTATGCCAGCTGCGGCAATCAGAGCTTTGGTCAGGTAGCCAATTAATGTTTTCTGAAAAAGTTCTGCTACCCGAAATACTCATACTTCGCTGTTTGAGTATTATTTAAATCAAGCCAAATAGCGTAATAGTTTCATTCAGCTTATACTAATTTTATACAAATTGATTTGTGTCAATTAAAAATATCATACGCATCAGGAATTTATTTAAGTGCTTAAATTATCTGTACTATTCTCTGTTAAAAATAAATTTGTATCAATAGCTTTATATGATTGTTAAAAAAGGCACCAACAAATTATTTACATAAACTTTTGTTATCTCAGCTGAAAATGATTAAATAATTATATAAGGTAAAGGTGAAGAGAAAAATATTTAGATATAACAAATGGAAATCGCTTGGTTCCGGTATACTTTCGAATCTATGAGAACCTGTGTTACGATTCTTAAGTTAAGATAGGTAAAAGAAGCGTGGTGCATTTGGAAATATATGTAGCTAGATATAGTGCTAGCTAGAACTCCTATTATTTAAGAGTCGCTCTTGAGATTCATTGTTCTCGGGCCCTGAAAATAATTATGTATAATATTCCTCCCCTATTTTACTATATATACTATTGATATATAAGTCGTTTGACATTCTTTAAATGTCATAAATTCAGATTTAGAGGCATACTTCCCTTTGATAAATCACAAACTCTGCTGCATAGAACTAAGAATTGCTTAGCTTAGATTTTCTCTAGGGATTGCAACATTTCCATTGAAGCTAATTGCAATTTTTCCAATTCAACTCGTTTTCTTGGAGTATACAAACACCCTTCAACCCATTCACCCTTTGTTGTGCACACACAGATACACACACGTTAGCCATAATTAAGACAATACGCCAAGTGAAGAGCCCTTTGGGTGAAATGAAGCGCAAACTGATTGCATTTGCCATTGGCAGTGGCCATAAGGAGGTGGACATGAATGTGAACGCTGACATGTTGTAACAATATTGCGGCCTGTGGCATGTCCAACTGGCCCTTATTACCAACTTGGCCAACTGGCTCGTTAGACTTGGCCAACACACACACACACCCAGCGAGAGAGACATTGCAAAGAAGTGCAACGCGGCAACTACAAAGAAGACGAGGAGCGAAGACGAGGACGACAAAGACGACGACGACGACAACGAGGAGGACGTATCTGGTACACTGATAGCAGTCCGGGGCGGCAAACCTCAGAGAGGCAAACCTTGGTGGTGGTGGTGGTGGTAGTGCTGCATAGTGGGTTGAAATCGACACTGACACACGCACAGATGTCGCAAACGCTTTGAAGTTGTTTTTGTTTTTGTATTTTTGTTTGCTTTTGTTTTTTTTTTGTGAAGTTTGAGCTTGTCTTTTGGCGATGCCGCCGCGTTTCGAATTGCAATCGGCCAGGCAAATGAGCAGCGAAGCGTTTCCCTTACCAACACACACACACACACACAGATGTAGGCCCAGGTGTGCGTGTGTGTTAATTGCATTAAAATGTTTGTAATTGCAACGCGGCATCAGATCGGCATCAGCTTTCGCATCGCTCTCTTATCGCTGCGAGCAAATCTGTGCACATTCAAAAAATGCCATAGATGCCGCCACATGAAAGAGCGCGAATCGTGTCGTAACTATAATTGCCATAATAACATAATATCGCAGCAGTTGAGCGCGCCAGCAGCAGATGCAACGATGCGAAATACCAGAAGACCAACTGCAGGAAAAGTAAAAGGTGTCGTTTATTGTCGCTACAAATGCGCACGACACAAGATGCGTCGAGATGCACTGGCAGAAAATGCGATGCAGTTCTAATATCGACAAAATGCGAGCAAGGTGCTTATTGCTTATTGGCCCGTTCGGCTGGCTCTCCGTGATTTTGATTGATTTTTTATGAATGTCCGTCTGTCTGTCCGACCAAGTATCCAAATGTACGTCCGGTTGTCTATCTGTACTTCTATTTTATAGTCTGTAGAATCGCTGACATTGAAATTCATCCTCGCCTTATAAAAGCTAAAGTTTTAACCATAGGGGAGTATCGAGTATCACTATTTAAGAGGTTAGATAATTAATGAGAATACGATGAATGGGATAAAAAATTAGAAAAAAAAGCTTTTATACCAAAAATAAAAAAACATAGAAATATATATACTATAAAATACATATGGCCTGGTGAAAGCTGTATAGTAAATGACATATAATTAGTTAGTTAAAGGTTAGATGAGCTTTGAATCAATAATCAACTTCTTTTTTTCAAAATTCCCTATATATATATATAGATTTAAATATACACATTTAAATTATTGATAGATCAGTTGGTTTGCTTAGTCAAAATTAATGTGAGACATGACACTTGGACTCTTAGTCGCACCGCTGTTACGCAACTTGTTGTTATAGAAATCATTCGGTATTTCATTGTGGGGAAATGAGTGAATTAGATTCTAGGCGCCTGCCACGTTGGTGGTCGGGCGGGGTATGTTCCGCGATGGCTGTGACGACGACACATCCGCTGGATTTGGTAAAGGTACAATTACAGACCCAGTCGAAGAGGGTGCCCGTTTCGCATCTGATTGCGAACATATATAAGAATGCGGGTAAGCGTGATGCCAGTACGGCGGCGGCAATGGAATGAAGTACCAAATGAATTCGTTCTAGGAATCCTGGGGTTTTACAGTGGCATTTCGGCCTCGTGGTTTCGTCAGCTCACCTACACCACGGCCCGCTTTGCGCTGTACGAATATGGTAAGAACTTTGTAGATGCCAACAATATGTCAGCAAAGTTCCAGTTGGCCACATTTGCGGGCTTCTTTGGCGGAATTCTGGGCGTGCCGGGTGATGTGGTGACAGTGCGGTTACAGAATGATTCCAAGCTTCCACCGGCCGAGCGTCGCGGGTGAGCAATAAAATCAATTTGATGAGTTTGGACATTGAATGAGATCCCGATCAGAATAATAGATCATTAATCAGTCGATGGTCCGAATGGGGTATTTATAGTGATGGACAGTCAGTCTGAATAGGGATAGGGCTAGGGATGGGTTCAATAGAAGAAAGTTTATATATTGACTTAGTTGATAATCAGTTCTTTGTTCTCTTTATGAAAGTTTTTTAAAGATAAGTTTTGCCTATCAAACATCTATCAGCATAGAGCTCTATATAGTTTGGCTTTATCTGTTCATGGAGCTGGGTTCATGATGATTGGCACATCAAACAGTTTTAGTAAAATCGATAGATATGAAATTCTAGCTCTAGTTTATTGATCAATTTAAATAGTACTTCAGGACTATAGATAAAATTAGATCGTTTTTATGTGTGTATTATACCAAACCCAGATCATATTCATGTTGATAATCTATAGACTCTGGTGCTCCCCTAAAATCTATAAGTATCGACTACTAGATCTATTTTATCTATGTCTGCTAAAGTAAAGGTTCACTTGCCATCGATAAAAATCGACTTTT